ATTCATGTGAGTCACCTTCAGCTGTTGCTGTAAACTCACTTTTTTTTCTGCCCCAACTTCTGCCTCCCAGGCGACTATTCTGCTTTCTTTTTTGGTAGGGATGAAAATATCAAATCAACCGATCCACCAGTGAAGCAAAATGGAAATTTGAGTGAAAATCCTGCAATCCAAGAACCTCATATACTGCAAAGCAAACCAAGAAGACAGATTTATCCGAAACAGACTGAATAAGACTGTCGGACAGAACTGCAATAAAACACAAACTGATATTGGCAAAGTGTTTCAGAGATGATGAGATTTTTTGCGATTGAATTCCTATAGTTGGATTCTGAGCTACTTTAAGTTTAGGAAGGAAATAGGTCAGTAGTCTGCTGCTATAAAACCTGATGAGGATCCCAGACAGGCCTCGTACTCACTAATACGGACACTTTGCAAAACAAACATTATACTTTCCGTCTGTCATGTAAATGACATTGCAAAGCAAATTAATGTTGTGACCCCGGAGAGTCTTGGAAAGCCTTCAGCGCTCCCATCTGAACACACCTGCAGTGACAGTCATGTGACCGATACGCTGTAAAAAACATAACAACAGAAAATTTCCATTTAAAAAAAACAAAACTGAAAATCTTGCAGCAAGTGTGACAACTGGTTTTTTTGTGTGTGTGTGTGTGTGTTTTTTTTTTTTTTTAAATTGTAAAAATACAAACAAATATAACATAGGCAAGGTTGTAAAAGACCGAATTACCATTTGTAAAAATAAAGATTTGGCCTTTTGTTAAGGTTAACCAGTAAATTAATACTCTAATTAATACTTCAGTGATTTTACTAGATATCTGTCATATTATAAAATGATCGTTTGGAAAATAAAGTTTGAAGAACGATTTACATTTTTAAATCTTTAATATACATACTTTTTTTTTCTTTCAAATATTAGCAAGTATCTGTAAATTCTAATCATTTTTGCTGATTTAAATACATTAAACTGTGTAAATTTATGGTCACACATAGTAAAAAAATATCTATTATTGAACAAAACAAGGACAATCTGAAAAATAATGGTTTAAAAATAATGATTCACCATTTTTTCAATCCTTAATATACTATTTTTTTCCACCTAATATCAGCAAAAATCTGGGAAATAAATATATAATTAACGCTGATTCAAATACAGTAAATAGTTGTGTAATTCTACCGGCAAATGTTTTAAAAATTATTAGAATTATTATTATTATTATTATTATTATTATTATTATTATAATTCAATATTTTTTCAGTGGTTTTACTAGATGTTATCTGTAATGTAACAAAACAGGAAAAATGTGTAAAATACCAGTAATTTTATTTATTTATTATTTTTTTAATTACAGTTCAAAAATAGTTTTTAAAAACATACATATATTATATGAGTCTCAGCAGACGTGAACATAAACTGTGATGAAAAATACTTTATTTATCCCAGAAGTGAAATTCAATATCATAATAAACTTAATCAGTGATTTTGCTGATTAAGTTTACAGGCTTTAGTTTAGCTCCTAAAGTCAATAAATACCAATAAAAGTCAGCTAATAATAACGAATTAAACCCACTAACAAGTACTGATCGATGTATTAATTATTCCTCTGTGCCACAGAAATCCAGTTTTTTTCCCAAAAACTACAAAGAGCATGATCAGAAATCCCACTTCCAGCAGTCTGTTTGTTCAGCTCCACTGGATGAGACGCTTGATTTGACGTCTGATTAACCAGAAGCTCTTCAGCTCCAGAGTCTGACTGACAGCATCGATGCTGCGCTGCAGCCTTTTAACACAAACCGTCTTTAACGTCAGTTTGCAGCAGCAGCGAAGCCTCCGAACCCCCAAAACATTTCACCAAAGCAGCTTCATGTGACGCTGACGGACATGCAGGCTCCCCGAGGGTTGAACCCGGACTCCTGAGCCGCAGGAACCTTTTTATCCACGCTGCAGAATAACACCACAGCTATTCCTGGACGTGAATTAGTCTCATTTCAGCCGAAAGCAATGCAGGTATTAAGTTAAGAGGATGGAGAGCGGCGTTTATCAGCTGGAAAAAATAAAAACACACTTTAATTACAGCTTCTTCTGCCGTTTCCACTGTCAGGCTGACAGCTGCTGACTGATGCTGGTCGAGTCGAAGCCGCAGAGCTGAACGTTCACCAGATTTCAACACTAAAATATGTGTTTTCTGACTTCCTCTAATGAGGTTTTGGCTTCGATTTCACGGCTAAAGAAGGAGTTTTTGTAACGCTGCACGAAAGGTTAATTGATTAACGCCTGCACGCACCGATTTGTTCTTCCCACTCACAGCCTTATTTCTGTTTTTTAAATATATTCACAGCATCAACAAGGTTTCTGCTGATTCTGTAGTGGTAACACAAATATGCAGTTAACCCAGATTACGTAAACTGGAACTAGTTTCTGCTACATCCTCAATAAAATGATAAGTTAGGATGAGAAACGTGGAAAAATAGGACTAAAGCACATTCCCAAAGGCCCAAAACACAAACATATTCATCAGCAATCACGAAAAAAGACAAAAAGACGAGCAACTATTGATAAAAGCGTTGCTTTAAATCATTATTTTAGTCATTAAAATGTCTTTAGTTCTTCTGCAAGTGCATGAAAGCTGCTTGGTATTTGTGTAAATTAGTTGGTCGACAGTAAATTTTATCTATACATTCGTGGGTGGCTGGAGTCTATCCCAGCTGACTTAGGGTGAAGGCAGGGGACACTCTGGACAGGTCACCAGTCCATTGCAGGGCTACAGTAGCATTTTAATAATAGATTAATTTTCTGCAGCATTTATTGCACAGAGGTGTCAAACTTTTAAGAATCCATCATCTGAAATGTGAAGATTTGCTGCTTTTCTTGTATAAATGCAAGTTTTGCATGTTTAGGAGTGCTGATCTGATAGTTTTATTTACTATTTGAGCCTTTTAGGTACAAATTTGAATCAACCAAACACGCCTACATGGGACTTTTTGTGTTGAAAAGTGACGAAATTGTGTTAGAAATTTCAATTTCATTCAACTTTACAAAAACAAGAGTCTCTTTAGGTGAGAATAAGTGGAAAAAACAACACTCTGATGCTTGGAGCTGAGAGTTGGGGCAACCAAACACGCCTACGTGGGTTTTGCTGTATTGAGAAGTCAATAAAATGTTAGAAAATGAAATTTAATTGAACTTTTTAGCAGTTTTACAATATCAAGTGGCACCAAAGCAGCACATACATTCAAAATGAATGAGAACATGGCATCAGTCACTGCTGGTATTTTACAGCATGAGTTCCCGATAAGTTACAGCATCTAAAATATTAAGCTTTTCTGAATTTTTTGGTCTTAAATCATCATATAAATGAATGACTTTGGGGTTTGGAGCGTTGATCTCATGAAACAAGAGTCTCTCCAGTTGAGAATAACTTAAAAAAAAACCTTACCTGATGTTTTTGGCTACAAGTTTGATAAAACTAAACCCTCTGACATGGTTTTATTAGGTAAAAATTACATAAGATGTGTTAAAAATTCAAATTTAATTCAACTTTTTCACTATTTTACAATCCCTGGTGGCACTACAGCAACATACACAGACAAACTGAATAAAAAAAACACTCAGCTGATATTGCTGCTGCCTGAGAGGCAACCAAACACCTACATGGGTTTTTTAGTGTTAAAAAGTGAATAAATTGTGTTAGAAATTCAAATTTATTCAATTTTTTTAAACTATTTTGCAAAACAAGAGCCTCTCTAGGTGAGAGAAACTGGAAAAAATCTCAACTTGATGCTTTTAGCTACAAATTTGAAGAAACCAAACATACCTATGTGGGTTTTTTGTGTTAAAAAGTCAATAAAATGTTAAAAACTGACTTTTAATTTAACTTTTAAACTATCTTACAACATCAGGGGGCACTAAAGCAACACACACATTGGAATTAAATGAAAAAAATGGAATGTACTGAACCTCATGAGTTCCCAAACTGTTATCGATTCCAGCGTCTGTGTCTTAAATCACTGCACAAATGAACAACTTTTGGGTTTTGGAGCATTGATCTGCTAAAAGAAGAGTCTTCACTTGAGAATAAAATGGCAAAAAAATGAAAATAAACAACACTCTGCCAGTTTTGTTTGCTACTTTGGTTTCTTCTAAACACCTCGATGTGTGTTTTCTGTGTGCAAAAGTGAATAAAATCCAGATTTCATTTACTTGTGAACTGTTTTGCAAACATCAGAGCAGCACAAATGTTCAAATCACATAAAACACTGCTGTCAGTCACTTGAGCTTCTAAACTTTTCAGGCACCCAAAGGCCTCCAGAATCAGCAAACAAACACGACGACAACACAACAGCCTGACAATCACTATTTTATCTTTAATATCTTCTAGTCAAAGCAGCTCTGAGTGAACATGCAGCGAGTCAGAGCAGCAGGTTTCACAACTTGTGGCTCAAATGTGTGATTTCTAATCATGTTAAATGTACATTTGTGTCTCGTGGCCTCCAGTCTGAGCACCACAGTGATGATTCCAGCACATCTGAGGCAACAACACAATAAAAAGAGAAGCCCCGAGGCTCCAACACATCACCTTCTGTGCATCTGTTCCAACATTTTTCTGCCATTTCACACAATCAATAGATGGATCCATAATGAAAACAGTGGTTGGCTGCTCTCCCACCATGGCTGGCATCAGGTCCACAGCTGTGAGGAGTGACACCAGGAACACAACCTGATTGCTTTTTTATTATTATTATTATTTTGCAGCTTTTGGGGTCACAGGAGCCTCCAAACATCTGTCACTGGATGGCCACCTGAGAGGACGCCTCAGTGCAGGAAACACACCTGCTCAGGCTGCTCTGGAGGCGCACCGAGGCTGAGCCGCGCTGCAGAGGCTGCCCGGCCGTGCAGGGCCTGCATGGGCATCCTCCGGGCACAATGACACAGCGAGCTGCTGCAGACGCACACACACGGAGGCTCAAAGTTTGCAGCGTCCTACCTGGGGATGCAGTTCGGGGAGGATCCGTCGATCTCCCAGGTGGCGAACAGGTTCATGGGCACCGGTCTGTTGAGCGCCCCGCCGCCGGGGAAGCTCAGCCGGCCGCTTCTCTCCGCCATGGTCCGGGGCTGCGGGCGGGACCGTCCGACACCGAGGTTTGTAAACAGCAGCAGCGCACCGGTGCGGCTCCTCTCCGGCTCTCGGTGCGAGGATCCGTGCGGCGGTGTGTTGGGGTGGAGGGGCGGGAAAAAAAAACAATCACGTCAATGCGATGTGGACGCCGGAGGACGAGCTCATTTCTCCGTCCAAGCGGAGCCGGTGTGGTTCCTCCGTGCCAGGGAGGGACTGCAGCGGAGCGGCAGGACGGAGCGGACCGACCGCGGAGCTTGTTGTGCCCACCACGCTGCTCCGGAGGTATGGAGGGCGACTAGTGCCACACACAGGGGGAGCAGGATATCACATATACACAGTGCTCCTCAAAATACCATTGAAGATCCACAGAAATACTCTTATCTTATCTCTGAAGTCTGGGTGGAGCTGAGGATGATACTGGGATATATAACTCCAAACACATGGGACGTCTTGTATCTAAACAACCTGTCAAAAGACCTTGTTCAAGTTAAGGATTGATCTGTTGGCAGCAGCAAGGAGGGCCATCACCAGGAAGTGGCACCAAGAGGACGCTCCGACAATCAGCCAATGGAAGGACATTGTTGAGGAGATATTTGACATGGAGAGACTCACACATATATTAAAAATTCAACAATCAGTAATTTGCAGAAAAATGGACCAAATGGACTGAATGTAAGACTCAACAAACTAAACAGCTGACTGGCTTCGTAAAGCCCCGTGTAACTGTGATCTCGCTGACATGTTCATTGTTTGTATGTTTGTTCTGTGACAACAAATTGAAAAACACTCATATTTAAATTTTAAAAAATACTCTTAGTCTTGATGCCCCTATATGAGGTTTGTATAGTAAATACGAAACCAGTTAACAACGACAAAAAACTAAATGCTGTTTTTTTTGTTTGTTTTTAATAGTTATATTCTGGTAGCTAGTGTGCCAAAAATAGCAACGTAACCATAAATTATGTTAAATATGAAACCAGCAAACAAAAAATAAATAAAAAATAAAAAAACAACAGTGATATTCTGTTAGCTGGTGTGTCAAAAACAACTAAAATAACCATAAATAAATTAAAAATACATATTATAATATTGTCCTTCATTATAATACAATTTTTCACCCTCGTTTCACATGAGGTCACATGTATTTTTGTGCTTTTTAATGTTTAATGAAGTATAGGTATAAATAATATTATGTTTATATGGTAAATATGACTAGACTGGACTATTACTATGGAGCCAGAACACAGACAGTCCAGTTTAACTTTGAAAACAAAGCCTGAACTAAAAAAAGACACACTGGAAGTGGCCGGCAGGTTCAGGAGGAGGACGCTCGCTCCTTGGTTTGCAAAATATATGTAAATGACGAGCTTCATGTCGCTTGACCCAGACTGAAACCAGTGACACTGAAAAAATACCAACAGCTTACAAAAACAAGGTCATTGTAAAAAAAAAAGTGTGACATGAAGAAAAAAAACAAGATTGTTAGTGAAAAGTACATCAAAACACAAAACTAATCCCAAAGTTTTATTTTTCAGTTTAGGTTTTGTTTTGGGTGGCATCACATATCATCAGTGTTCTGGGATGATTGATTCTGAGCACGGCTTAATGTCAGCGGGGCTTTGGATGAGGGCTTCTCACTTCTGCAGCACTTTGATTTATTATTTGATGATTAGCACCTTATGAAATGCAATATGTCCCAGAGGTTCAAACTGTCACCTCCCAGCTTATAGATCCTGACTTCTCTCTGTGCTTCAGTTTGCATGATCTGTGCACATTGTGGGTTTTCAGACTCTGTAGAAAGTGTGGGTAGCTTGGTGGTTAGTATTCTCAGCTAGAAGGCTCAAACCCTGGCCTGTTTGCATGTCCTCCCTGTGCCGGTGCTTCAGCTTCTTCCACAATCGAAATAATGTTCCTATAATGTTAAGAGACATGATGGAGAACGTAGCAGGAACACAGATTCTGTTACATGAAAACAAAGGAGGAATGTTCTCAAACAAACATCTTTTATAAACAAAAAAAAAAACGTAGCGGGGCAGGACAGGCATTCTGAAGACGAGTGTACACGTCATGTAATGTTTGTCATCTACTGAGTCAACGCAGAAGACTGTGTGGACGTCCACACCGACCGCACATGGGCAAAGAAAACTAATGGAGTTTTAAAAATAGCGCCTGTTTGAGGAGAGACTGTACGAGAAGATTCTCAGTCATCCACACCTTGATAGTTCAGCGTCCACTCAGTACAAGGCGTACGTCAGCTCAAGGCACTTTACATAGCAAGGTGAAGATTTTACTAAATCTAAACAGAGAAACTCAACAAGTTCTTTCTGAAGAAACACTTTTGCGACTTGGAGGGGGAAAAAAGTCTCTTTAGCAGGAAGGGAAAAAAAACTGAGACACTGCAGAGAAGACAAAACACAAACTACACAGAGACATGCAGTGTCAGCGTAAAACTATAGAGAGAGAAAGAGAGGAGAGGAGAGGTGCATCATGGGAAGTCCTCCAGGCCTATAGCATTGTAACTCAAATCAAAAGTGTGATTTAAAAGTAATTGAAGTTGTTGCTGCCAGACTTTGGAGGAGCTTTAAACACACTCACCTTAAGCTCTAAATTCTCCACAAGTCCTGTACTATGTTCACCACCTGTTCTTAACACACCTCAGGAATAATGATTGAATCAGTGCTGCAGACCAGTCTGTAACTAACCACCACATCCTGTTTTAAAAAAAAAAAAGACATGGGAAGCATAAACTGACCTTTATACCCATAATCTACATCCAGTGAGTCAAACTAGTCAGACCTCCTATGCAGAGCTTTGCAAACATACATCTACCTCTTGTAGCTGCTGCTGTTTGGTGAATAAAGTGAAACACCCAAAAATACGGGCTTCTCTTATTCGTGTTTTAACTATTGTTGGTCCTTTTGCTGGAAAATGCAGACGTTAAAGTAGATAGAGAGCGAGATATAAAAACATTGAAGGGAATTCCTCTGATCCGTGCATCATCAGGTACACAACAAGGAACCATGAGTCCACCTTTAGTCATTACAGCGGTGAAAAAGAACAGATTCTTCTTACAGTGGCACTGATTTTCTTCTATACTTGTGTCACTTTCATTTGAATGACACCACTCTCAGCATTAGTCAACAGAGCACTAAGCACCCCTCATACACTCTCCTGAAATACGTCACTGGGCTTCCATCTGCACCAGCAGGTACAAAGTCTCACCTGGATGGACTCAAAGCATGTAAATCAAAGTGTTCACTCTGCACTGAGACATGTCCTGTGATCAATGTGTATTCAGTGGAAAGTGGAGCGACATAGTGCTACTTTATATGCAGTTTGTTATTGCAGTTGTTTTTTTTATTTCTCTCTAATCTTTGATCTTGTTGTGAGGTCTGGCTTGATTACAGTTATTCAAATGAAACCATGTGAGAAGTTTCTTTTATGTTTTTGCTGCCTTTGTTTCAATGAGGGTCCATTAGATGCTGTTTGCCAACTTTTTTTGTCATATTTTATGCACATATCATGTCTCTATCATAAAAATTCTTGCTTTTATTTTGAAAACCAGCAGCTGCAGCTGCCAAATAAGTATATTTCAGTAAAAAAAAATCCAAATATTTCCCAATTAAATGATAGAATTACAGTGTAAAGCAGCAGTAAGTACCTTGGAAATGTGCTCAGGTGTGGTAATTTAGTAAATTAGTTCCTGCTAATCATATTCTGGTAGAAAGAAGTGAAGAAAGAATTCACTTTGTTAGTTTACATTTTCACCAGAGCCCATCTTCCTTTAACTTTTCCCCTACAACTGCTTAGGTGCCTCAGAGCAAGTCGCCTGTTTATAATAATTACAATAAATGGTGTAAACTGTCCATTTATTCTTGTTTTTTGCGTCCATTCATGCAGCTGAGTTGTAATCTAAGCAGGTGCTGCCACCATGTGGTGACTGTGCTCATTGCAGGTGAAGCTGAACAGAATTACATTTATAGTTTTAGACCAAATAATCATGTTTAACTCGAGTATGCTGAAGAGTAAACGCTCCCCTTCACAGGCTTCAGGGTCACTTTAAGGATTAGTGCGAGCTGCTGGATAATCTGGGACCATATTAATCCACAGATGGATCATCTGCTCGCTCCTCTGCACCTCTGATCAATATCGTTTGATTTAGAATAGAATGTACTTTATTTATCCCAGACCTGGGAAATGATTGTAAACAGCAACATCCAAAAACATAGAAAGAAAGTGCAAGAAAATAACAATAATTCAGTAACATGCATCTGGTGTCCGCACACAGCAGGTCCAGGTCAGTCCACATACTGGCTGAACGTGAGGAGAGTGGTAGAGAGCGATGTGTGGTTAAAGTCTCCTGAGGTGACCATCAGACACTGAGGGTGTGATGTTTGCAGCTGGACACTGAACTATGGATGAGCTCACAGGCAGCAGCAGCATCAGTTTATCTATCAGCAGATGTCAGCGTTAGTTGGATTCAGAGTTTGTAGTTTTATAACGTCTCGGTGGAAAGTCAGAGAGTTTAGTGAAAAGATGCACAACAGCCACAGAGACACACAAAACATTCACAAAATGACCAGAGACATGTTAAAGGGAAACAGAAACACGCAAAACAACCACAAACGACTACAAAGTAACACAAAACGACCACAAAGATGTATAAAATGACACCAGGACACAAGAAATGACAACAAAGACACAAAGTGACCATGGAGACACAAAGCAGAAACTCAGACACACAAGAGTCTCTCAGAATTACCAAACACACAAAACAACCACAAAGACACACAACATCACCACCAAGAAACACAAAATGACCAAAAGTCACCAGAGACATAAAACAAAGACCCACAGTACAACAACAAAGACACAAAACAACCACGAACACACAAAACAGAAAGAAAGACGCACAGAGCGAAAACCTAAAAGTCACTCAGAATTACCAAACACACACACCATTACCACCGAGAAACGCAAAATTTTACCACAAGGACACACAAAACCTTCCCAAAAGACACACAAAGTTAGCAGAGACACAAAACAAAGAGACGCAAATAATGACAAAGACACACAGCAGGAACACAGACCCACAAAGAGACTAAACCTGAAAGTCACTCAAACACAAAACCACCACAAAGACTCACAAAACTACAACAAAGGAACACAACATGACCACAAAGACACACAACGCGATCACAAATATGTATAAAATGACCACAGACACACTAAATGGAAAAACAAAGACACAAAGTGACCACAGAGACACAAAACTGGAAAAAAAGACACAAAAAGAGAATTACCAAACACATACATTACAACAAAGAAACAAAAAAGCGACCACAGGAACACACAAAACCTTCCCAAACGACACACAAAGTTAGCAGAGACACAAAAGAAAGACACAAAATTACCAGACACTGGAAGCTAAAGCAGAAACACGCATAACAACCTCAAATACTCATACGACGTACACAAAATGACCACAAAGCAACCGCAAATATGAACAAAATGACCAGAGACACACAAAGTGACCATCCATCCATCCATTATCTATACACCACTTAATCCTCACCAGGGTCATGGGGGGCTGGAGTCTATCCCAGCTGACTCAGGGTGAAGGCAGGGGACACCCTGGACAGGTCACCAGTCTATCACAGGGCTACACTTAGAGACAGACAACCAAGCACACTCACATTCACACCTACAGACAATTTAGAATCACCAATTAACCTCAACATGTTTTTGGACTGTGTGGGAGGAAGCCGGAGAACCCGGAGAGAACCCACACTGCACGAGGAGAACATGGAAACTCCACGCAGAAAGATTCCGGTGCCCCCACCAGGACACGAACCGGCGACCTTCTTGCTGCGAGGCAACAGTGCTCAAAGTGACCATAGACACACAAAGTGACCATAGAAACACAAAACTGAAAGACACAGAGACAAAACTTGAGTCATCAGAATTACCAAACACACACACACACACACACACACAAGATTACTACCAAGAAATGCAAAATGCAACCACAAGGACACACAAAGTTAGAAGAGACACAAAGACACACACAATAACAAGACACTGGAAGCAAAAACAGAAACACACAAAATAACCTCGAAGACTCGTAAAAAGACCACAAAGACCCAAGAATTACCACAAAAAGAACATAAAAAGCCCAAAACGACCACAAGGACACACAAAACCTTCCCAAAGACACACAAAGTTACCACAAACAGAGACACAAAACCCAACAGACTGAAGTGACTCTGATCCATTTAGAACTGACGATCAGCTGCTTCCTGTTAGTCAAGAAGGTACAAATCTAAATGATGAGTGTCCAGGAGCTAGACGGAGGTTTTATTAGTGCTGGATGTTAAAATATATTAAAAACGTGTATTATGAGGAGACATCCAGGTACAAACACTGTTCTGTGGTTTCATGTCCGGCCTTCTCTGAATATTAGTTCTGGTCAATAATGACATTAGAGATCTTCTATCAACAACAACCAGAAACGCTCAGAATGGAGTAAAACAAACACTGACACAGCGTTTAAAATCAAACATGTTTATTTGGGTTCAACCTGACATTTGTGTACGTTTGTGCTGAAATCGCTGCAGGACTGAATGTTTGCTGACAAAATGAACAGACTTGAATCAATGCAAAGACCCACATGTACAAAGTATTAGAAAAAAAATAAGAATAATAAAAAAGAAAGAAAAACGAAGGGTCACAATATGCAGCGGGTGTTTTAGTCTCAAATTCATAAACCTGTAAAGAAAGATGTGTTCTTAGATCCTCGACACAGACTGGAGTAGCAGGAATCAGACAGAAACATGAGATTAAATTAAAAAAAAACAACTAATGCCAGATTCCAGGTTGAACTAAATCTCCAGCTGAGATGTTTTTTTTTTTTTCTGTTCACATATCAGGGCAGTGAATGCAACACGTGTAGAAGCGCCTTACTGGAAGCGTAATCACAGTTTCACAACAACGCCAGGAGCTCGCAGCACAAACCAAGAACATATTCGTCAACACTTTTTTTTTTTTTCCTTAATGGGGGGGGGGAAGCGAAAGCGTCCCCACGAAGCACAGAGGAGTGGATGGAATCAGAACACGGCTACGACGGACTCCAGCGGCATCACTGATTAGTATTTCATTGAGACATGAACGTTCCCCAAAAAGATGGAAATGTTTAAATCGTAACAAAAAAAAAAAAAACACAAAAAAAAAACTCTCTTCTGTGGAAGCACATCAAAAACTAAGAATTACAGAAAAACAAGTGTTAGCACATTGAAGACTGAGGGTCTTATGTCAAAATGTAAAAGTCAAATTTCTCCCCTTCATTAAAAGAAAAAGACAAAAAAAATAATAAATCTCACCCCATCGTTGAGGCCCATGGTGAGCAGCTATCAGTCTATTTTTTTTTAATTTTCTGTTTTCTTTATTTGTTTTTTTTACGGTCTTCAGTGTTTGCTGTCTGCTGAGGCGGAGCGGGAACGTGAGCGGGATCGAGAGCGGGAGCGGGATCGTGAGCGCGACTGTTTGTCCTGAGCAGGAGCCGGGGAGCGCGAGCGAGACCTGGAGACGGACTTGGAGCGGGACTTGGAGCGAGACTTGGACCTGGAGGGGGACCGGGCGCCGGCTTTGCCCCCTCCGGACGTCTTCTTCTCTGGGGTGCGGCTGACGGACCTGGAGCGGCTCCTGGAGCGGTTGCGGCTCCTGGAACGACTCTTTGAGCGCGAGTAGCTGCGAGAGCGAGAGCGGCTCTTGCTGTGACTGTGGAGGGAAAAGAAAGAGAAAAAAAACAACATTTAATGTAAGATTTAGTGACACTGCAGGGCTCCAGAATAATTCCACAACCCCTTTATTTTGGTGCAACATCACAGCTATTGTGTTACAAACTCTATGGTACAGTTTATTACATCAGTTCTTATTGTGCTTTTATCATGTTTGACTTCCATCTCTATTTTAACAATAGATATTTTATTTCTCTGGCTTATTTTGTTTTATTACATCTCATCTGGTGTTTTCTCATCGTACGGTTCCTCAGTTCCTCAATTTGATTTATTTCTAACATGATTTTAGGGGCTGTTTGTGCTGCTTTATTGCATTTTTAATTTATAAGAAGTGCTATATAAATAAGTGAACCATTCACCCTCCCAGCATGCCGATGAATAGTTTGTCTTTGCATGACCTCGTTTTTGCATGGATGCAAATACGGTCAGTGATTCCAGACTTGGTATTTGTAAAGAATATTTTAATGTGGAAGTACATGAATTTTGTCACCAGTTCTTTTCCTGGAAGTTGTCTGACATCACAGCCTAAAGTGCTCACAAGTTGAACATCTACTTAAGATTTACTGATGTTCCCTAAATGCCTCACATGTGGGCGACCGTACCAGCAAGTCAGACAGATGTGAGCAAAACTTTGATGGAAATTAGTGAGAGTGAAAAACTATGATTTTATCTACATGGGCTTTTTTTTTTTTCCATCCTCTGCTCTAAAGTTCAACTTGTCTCAATGTACATTTTCTTTTTGATGTACTTTATACTCGAGTCTTTTCTTATCTAGTGTTACAGTGAGATTTATCTCCAATTGTGAAGTGTTTACATTTTTACATCAGTATGTTTCCACCTGCTTCCAGGCTTTATTTTAAGCAAACTTCCTGTTTGCTCTTCCTTCCTATTTCAGGCACCAACGTAAGTCTGGGATCAAGTTTCCAATTAAACTTCCTCCACTAAATAAGAAAACCTTGAAACCATTCATCTGCTACAAGAAGCGCCTATGTGAGCAGGACAAACAAACTCACGTCAAGAAAAAAAGGTAAATGAACTCACCTCCTGCTGTCCTCAAAGATCTTCAGCTTGCGTCCATTCAGCTCTGTGCCGTCAAGCTTGGAGATGGCGTTCTTCATGTCACTGCGGGATGCAAACTCAACCACCCTGCGTTGAACGAGGAACGCTGGTTAGCGCCGAGCACAAAAACGAAACGACAAGCATGAGCTGACGAACCGGCAACTCACCCTTCGTTTTTGTTGGGTCTGTGAGCGTCCACAAAGGTAACTTCACCTGCTTTTCTCATCAGGTCTTTCAGGTCCTATGTTAAAAGCATAGCGTGGGATTAGTAACAGCGAGCCACACATGAGGTGTCAGTGAGAGCCTTCATCAGACCTGTAGGGGGAGAGATGAGCAGGCAGCAAGAAACCAGCACACACACACAAACTTGGGTTATCTAAGTCACTTTGTCATAAGCTCCCATTTCAGTGGAGGCCATGTAAACAAAAGAGCCACAGAAAATGCTTTGTGAGAGTGGACAAGTGTTGTAGGTTTTTGTTTACGTAGCCTTAATTGACTGTAAGAATGTAGCTTTTGTAGCCTATCAGCAAAAACCAAATTCACGCCTGGCAGGTTTTTTTTTTTTTTTTTAAGGTATCTGAAGTCAAAATTAATCAATTTCTAATGCCAGCTAGTAGTGGATTTAGGAGTATGTGAGGTAAAGCTGTGTATTTATAAAGCGTACGACTAAAACCTGATGTCTAATTCTTTTTTTTTTCTTTTTTTTTGGCTCAGCAGAGGTAAACTGTTTACATGATTCCCCTTTGAGACTGTAACTCTACACCCCGTTACCACCCGACCCTGAACAAACCCAATCACATGAGTTTTATGCTACTTACCGCTCCATACCCAGGAAGATATTAGCATAGAGCCACTTGTCCAAATAGCAAATGGGAACCAATGCAGTGTTAAGCCCTTGAGAAACGCCCTCGGCCTTGACCCAGCATCCGGCCTCCACAAGTAAGGAACCACCAGAGAGCAAGTAGGGGGAGGGGTGTGCGCCCAACTCAACACCCCCCCAGCTCCATCAGCAACAGAAAAAGACCCAAATGGGAGAGTGTAGGGACCGTAGATTTGAGGGGGGTTACAGCAGTCGGGGATGCCAGCCCACAGAACCTCCAGACTGTGGCTACGGACCTCCTAAGGCTACCGTATCCTGCGCTAGACCACTTTCACCCGCTACGGGGCCCAGCCAAGACTTTAGACCGGCGGCAACTGCGTGTAAGGAGAGGCACCAAATGGACACTATTCAGAAAAAAAACAACCAGCAGAGGGCGCTACACACTTCTGACACCCCAGTGGAGGGTGTTTGTCATTCACCTCTGATATGAGGGAAACCATATCAGAGCAGCTGCTAAGTAAGAAACGGTCAAATGTTTTTGGTTAACATGTGCTTTTGTCTGGGAAGAAAAGGTGGTAAAGTAAAAAAAAAAAAAAAGAAAAGAAAGAAAAAATAGTGGGGGGGCTTTCTATTGTAATTAGCCAATTAACTAATAAGAACATGTTTTTTTTTGTAAGAAATTATAATCTGACTTAAACCAAATTGACCCGGGCGATAAAAAAAAAGATTGCTGCTTCATTATAATACACGTCATAAGAAGATGGTAAACATCATTTTAAAAAGCTTGTGTTGTGAGAGAGATAATGCCGTCATCTCTTACCTGCCAGCTAATCCGTGATGAGAGGTTCTCTACAATGAGTCTGTGGTCGGTTCGCACAGGAGGGCCGTACCTGTTCGGGCAATAAGAGGACGAAAAGGTAAGTACAACCCAAATCACACTGGAACACCCTCAGTATTCAATGGAAGCTGCAAAATTCCACCTGGATTTATTCTCACTGGAGCTTCTCTTAATGTTCACTGCTCTAATATTTATTCTGCGCCTGCCTGAAAGCTTTGTCAATATTTGATTTTGTTTTAAAGGTGGAACAACTGGCTTTTATTTACTGGCAGCGCACATTAATGACATGATAATGTTGCTCAAAAGAGTTTTTAAATGGTCTGCTCTGCCACATGCATGCGTTTATATAAACTTAAGACTGTTTCTAAGCATATGCTCTTATTTTTTTTCCGACTTCTCAGATTGTATAACTTGTGTCTGTGGGTTCACATATTGACCCAGCTGTCACACTTCACTGGGCTTTATTTGACTTTAGCAAAACCAGATAAAGCGAAGAAAGACACATCACCTGTGGAAAAGTTTCATTTGCTCTGAGAAACATATCTTAACATTATTTTGCTGTATAAAGATGTTGTCAACACAACACACTCTTGTGGTGTCTCTACAGATTTAAGTATACCAGAACATGAGCACAAGTGTCGTGCAACTTGCTCAAAAAGGTTCCTGGAAGCTAATCTGTGTGTAAAGTACCTGGATCCACTGCTGCGAGACGGGCGATAGCTGCTACTGCTGCTACTGAAGCGTCCCATACCGGGGCCGCCACCTCTTCCTCTCCTGGAGCGAGCATGCTCAATAGTGACCCTGGAAAAAAAAAAAAGCGAGTCAGTCAAAAGATGATTCAGCTGGAATCAGACAGTCTGAAAGTTTCCAATAGAGTCATATAACTATTGATTAGTCAGTGCGGGCTCAAGTAAATTTGGTGTTTTTAGGGAGAAGTGCACCATTAAATGCATCTAACTCTGCTGCTTCACAGACAACAGAAAGACTGCAGTCGTATAATCTGGAAGGAACGACCAAAGTGAAGCACTGACAGTGAATAATCAAACAACTGTCAAGAGTCTGAAAGCACAAATGCTGGTGAATACATTACTGATTCACAGTTCCAAGTCCTGTAAAATGTCTCAGACTAATACTCAACAGACCCACAGATTCGAGACAAACCCCAAACAGTGCTGACTATTGTCTACTCTCCTTATGAATTAATGAGCCTGGCCTTGTCAAATGTTGAAAATGTCCATCAATGTTTCTGCTAGACTGAGATGACATCCTCAAATGTTTTGTCTACAACCCAAAGATATTCAGTTTAGTGTTATAGAGGAGAAAAGAAAGCAGGAAATATTTCTATGTAAGAGATTGGAATCAGAGAATTGTCAGTATTATCTAATAAATGAATTACACAGACTGATCAATCGACTATCAAAATAGTGAGTAATAAATCTGATAGTTAAAAACTAAACTACTTATTGTTGCCGCTTCAGAAATTAATATTCTTTTAACAGTCAAAGGAGCAGGTTTACTGCAAAAAGAACATTTTATTGCTGTTAAGTGAACAGATGGCTACCAGAGACTGATGAAAAACTTCACAACTCTGTAACCATTTGTCAGTTTTCTGCAGCATGTTTTTAAATGTTAATGTCGTTGTGAAAGGACTTTTGTGTCGTCTTTGTCGCTCACAAAAGTTCAACTGACTGTGACTACACTAGCTCCTAGCAGCCTAAAAGCAACTGTGTTTGTCGTACTGTGACAAATGCCAAGACGGCCCCCAAAATAAGGAGCTGCAAGAAAATATACATCGACATGAAATCAGTTCCTGTGATTTGCAAGATAAAAAAGCCGGTGAGTCAAATGCTACACTTGATTTAGCCAGGCTTTTGTCTTTTATTTTGTGTAAACATGCCAGAGTGAAGGGCACAGAACACAAATAGATCAACTAAAAACCAGATTATTACCTTTCACTGCACAATTCTTTGCCGTTCAGCTCGTACACGGCATCATCTGCATCTCTGTGGTCATCGAATTCCTGAGGAGATGGGAAAAACATGACGTTTGTAGAAGCGGAAAACAAGATCAGACGAAAACCAATAATTCACACAAAGTGGTCGGCCATACTAACCACGAAGCCAAATCCATTTTTCAAGTTGATTTCCCGGATTCTTCCATATCCTTTGAAAAACTTCTCCACGTCTCTTTCTCTGGCGTGAGGGCTCAAACGGCCAATGAAGACACGGCAGCCACTCATGTTGCTGTCTGATGAAAAAGAAGAACACGTAATTTAGCAAGTACTTTAAACAAAGAAGGAAGAAAAGTAGAATAAAGAAAATATGACATGAAAAGGCTGGCAGGCTTATCCTACTTAGTCACAAGATGACTTTGAATGCAATCACAGTATGTAGCATCAGCACAGTCCAGGAAATAAAAATCAAAGTGTTTCCTTATTGCTTGTCTATTGGAGAGCGAGTGCATTGTTTTTCAATGAAGGACTTTGCCTGATACAAAGGCCGCCTCTGCTAACAGTTAACTGTTGTAAGGAATTAAACATTAAACCAGGAAAAAAAAAACAGACTCAACAAATTCCATGTGCTGTCTGTTGTTGTTGCTGGGGCCACTTTCAACCAACTAAACTAATTATTATCCTGGTGGTAACTTCTTGAGCACCATGAACATGTGACTTTCTCTCATGTGAAACCTTTCATTTGCATGTTATAAACCAGTCAGGACAGCGTTACATTCAGACATGTTCAGGCTGAAAATGCTCCCAGCGATACCCGACCAGAATCAAAACCACATACTTCAGCTCTGGTCAAACCAGTTTTAAGATAACCATTTACTTGAATGCAGATTTCACCCCGTCCCTACAGAACAGAGCTAAAACTACCATTACACACATACGGTTCATTGGGTTTAACAGGCTTAAAGGTTAGTACAGCATAATGATTTATAATAATTCTTGCATTTGTGGAGGTTTTAATGTTCAGGTTCTAGAAAGAACCTGATTCAACATCTGTGATTATTTCAGAGGTTGTAGTATAATATAAAGCACTATAATAAGACACGCTTCCAATGTGTTTATGGCACATTAGAGGTCGGACTGGGAAACTAATCGATTGAAATATCACAGTTTAAAACAATGCAATTAACAAAAAGCAAAGGCTGTAGTTTAGGATAGGCATTGTGCTGAAAGTTAAAAACCATCCTGACACTAGTTTTAATGCTCCCTCACATGATTTGAATCTATTACACAAAGAAACCAATAAAGAAATATATTGCAAATTCAATCTGTCTGGAAAAAATCTAATAAAATATTTCCCCCATGTCATTTAGTCATAATTAGAAGCGCATCAAATGGCTATTAAAGTAAAGCATTGCAGGCAAAAGCACTTAGGTTTCCAGCACTTATTGAGTTTGAGATTTGGGGCTATTTTTGCCTCCATAACATGTTTTATTCGAAGCAAAAGTAATAAAAACATCCCAAAAAATACACATTTGTTGAATTTAGTTCACTTTGCCAAGTAGAAAGTTAACAAAATTGTTCCTATTTAATTAGAATTTACAGAAAGTCAACCTTTAACCTTCAGTCCGATAATCAAGACAGCTGTGCTTACTTTAACAGTCGACAACAATCGATTAATCATCATTATCTTTTCATCAAATCAGTGCACATTTGATTGAATTACTTACACGATCTAACCTAGTATTTGAATTAACCACATACATTTGTGTAACACCACTAATATAGATCCGTAACCATAACAATATAAATAATGTTTGTAACGTTACTTTTATTGCTCCATTGAAAAGCAGTTGTATTCTGTTGTTCCAACGTGCTACATGATGAAAGATGCTAACTTGCCCGGCTAAAATTGTTTACTCTAATCTCCTGTTGTCTTAAACAGCATCAAGCAACGATAAATTCGTACAATACTGTTTTGGACACCCCGAAGTTTATTTGCCATCCTTACAAACTGAGTTATGTCGGTTGAAACCACAGCATTATTCGGTCGGTTAGGCCCAGCTCCAGCCTGCCAGTCCTTCACTGTGAGAACACGCTGAGACAACGTTGCTAACGTCCAATTAGCGACATGATCCAATATTATATTTGAGCATCGCTGAGAAAAAGAAATATAAGAGCTGCAAGCTGAATACGTGCTAGATACCGAGCTATTTTTGCAGTCTAACATTAAATCTAAAGCAGGCTTTACACATCACCCCCGGGTACAATTTCGTTCATGCAGCTCGCCTCGAGGTCGCATTCAGCTAGCTGAGCTAAGCTAAAGCTACATCACTGAATAAAAAGACAATTCGGAGCACATAAACGCCACGTTTGGGTATTTTAAAAACCTTAAAGTTGTTAAAAATAACTTCCCACCATTCAAATAAATTCTTACCTATTTCTGTTTGTTGGAACTGCTTCGGTTGTTGTTTTCGCGGCTGCTTTGCTGCAACTTTAACTGAAACTACTGCTCGACTGGATCAAAATGGCGAATCGGGCCCGAAGAGGAGGGAACAGTGGGGCAGCGGCTGCCTGCGGGTTGCCAGTTAACTGTTTATCACGGGTAATGTAGACGACTTTTCATTGTGTTGCTCAAAAGAAGCTACCGCGTTCAGGTGTAATAAACAGTCTCAAATTAAAATACCATTAAATATGTTCAATTACAAAAAATAAAATAAAAGAGGCGTCGCTCCTTGGTATCGTCAAAGACGGATACGGCACGGATTTGGCAACCCAGTTCAGAGCCCTCCATGCTAAACAACAGTTTACTGCATGCCTTCTCTTTGCTCTTAGCTGCATAGAATTACTTCTATTTTATTTACATGTCATAATATTTACCAGAGTACCGAAACAAATAGTCCAATAATCTATCAGTCACCAGAAAGACAAGTCATTCATCAAGAAAACTGTATAGTAAGGCTGCAAATCATATACTTGATTAACTAATGACAACAATAATCACTATATTTATACAGCACTTTTAAAAACAAGGGATAAAAAGTGAGCAATGAGCCACATACTCAGCTATTAAATGTACATTCGGGTAAGGCCGATATATTTTGGGTTCCAGACTGGTTGCAAACAGGCAGACAAAGATGTCAGACATCACTTCACAGATAATGCAATGCATCAAAAAAACAAAAAATAGACAAAGTAATTCATATTAAAAAGAAGTTTTAGTTGCAATCTGTACAACATTACCAATTATATTTTTATTAAATGTTATTCATTTGTCATATTGACGCTGTCTGTCCTAGTCTGTATTTTTTCTTGGCTTCAGCTTTGTGCTCTTTAAATACTTTTCATCACCAAAAATGTAGAAATTAAAACATTCTTTAATTTAACACACATTTAAGGGTATAGCTCGATCAATATCAAATTATTAGGGTCAAGGCCAACACTGATGTTTCAGAATTTACAAAATATACATAATAAGATGCAGTAGCCAGTGTTCTTTATCATAATGTTACATTCGTGCTATCGCCCACATTTAAGGGTTTACATGTTAATTAATACTTTTATTTCTCTATTGGAAGGTACTTTGACTCAACATCAGTTGTTTTAAATCTGCTATATTAAATAGTGGTGACTTGATCTTGGTTAATACAAAATAAGAAAAGTTAAGATAAATTACTATTAAAGAACTGTAGCTAAGGAATTCACAAAGTAGGACATTTTACAATTCAATGATAAACCTGTTTCAAAACAGTTTTTTGGGGGGGGTTCTCTTCTGAAATACCTTGTTTAATACATATGCCGATACTGAAAATTGAAAATTTACCAGGCAAGCTTTGCTTAGATTGGAGTCAATGCAATGCTATGACAATATCTTCTTAATGCTATTGTTTAAACCAGTGAGTGATGGTAAATGTTAAAATCTAAACACTTTAACACTGATGCAAAAAACTACACAAAAAGCAGCATTTCTCACAATGATCTCATTCATTCACATAAATTAAATATGGCTTAAATGGTTTTATATATATCATCCACCCAAACCCAAATGTTAGGCGAGAACAGAAGGAGTCACACATCTTTTTGTATTCTGTCTCTTTATTCTAGTACTATCATCATTCTTGAAATTGTCTCGGGTTAGGAAAAAGGAAATACAAGGTTTAGGTTGACACAGTACGATAGAAAAAAAAATACCTGTCTGGTCTGCTCGGTAGAAAGTGCCAAAGACTTCTGAGCATGTAGCACTGATCACTGTACAGCCCAACCGCTTAAACTGAAAATGTACCGAAAAATCTGAACACAATACACTTGGTGAAATGTCAAAAAAAATAAATAAGGAAATAGCTTATTCAAGAACATGGAGAACAATGATTAATCTGCACTTTCGGCCCCATTTACGAAGCAGGGATGAGGTGACGGTCACGACTACAAGTTGTGTGATTTCCTTCCTGAGAAAGGGTAGCTGTCCATCAACACACTACAGCAGGAGGAGAAACATTACAGCCACTTGTGGCCTCTTTCGCTTCGAGCAACGACAAGGAGCCGATCTTTGTCAATAAAAACCCCTGTTTAACATAATCACTGATGTTGTCGGTTATGTATTCTAAATCTGCGCTGATTAGAAATAACTCAATGACATCATAGTTTCCCTTTGTTTGATCTTTTAACTACAACAAACCCAACGTCCGATACAATCTCCTCGAAATACTTTCTGTAAACATGAAAGAAATCAAGCATAAAAATATGGTCTTTATTGAACAATTGTGCATTTTGGGAACTAATGCTCATTTATATCCTTGATGAGCAGTTGATACCACTGTCATGAGCGCATCTGACTAGCTTAGCTTAGCATAAAGCCTGGAAGCGGGGTAAAAGCCGAGGTCTGTCCGAAGGTAACAAAACCTGCCTACCAACACCTTTAACATTTTGTGGGTAATCCTAAATGCTTCAGTAAAAAGCAGCTGGACTTATTTTTTGGCTGCAGTCTTCATCCAAGAGGCTTCCTTGGTTCTAACTTACTTACAGGGAATCTCAAAATCACATAGTACACAGCAAAACACAGGAGATCCAGCTCCTCAGTCATCCGCCTGCATCTAAAAGATAAGGACAGCAATGTCTACTTTCTGGACAGAGAAGATAGATGGTTTGCGAGAGAAGTGGAGGAGGCCATGTATGTTAAACTGGAGCAGCCATTTCTCAACGGGGAGGGTTTCTACCACACATCTGTGTAGATTCTCGGTCATCCCGGTCATGGTAACCCTTGGGAGCTTCAGTAGAAATGAACTGGACTTCTGTTTTAGGTTCTTGAAGATGTTTCACCTCTGCGCTTCAGACCCAGAAACACAAAAAACTGGTTCATCCCAAGGACAAAACACAAGCAGAGCAACGTTGTATACGCAGCAACAGCACAGGAGATCCAGCTCCTCAGGACAAGACTTATCTGAAGGATATGAGACATTCCTTTACGGGCAGCAATGTCCACATTCTGGACAGAGATGACAGATGGTTTGGGAGATAAGTAAAAGTACGTCAAACTGAAACAACCTTCTCTAAACAGAGGAGGAGGCCTGCGACACCACTTATCAAGCACCTATAAGGCAGCCATAAGGTCACTCCTCAGAAGTTTTAGCCATCATTAACATCTTGAGTCACTCCTGACGTGGCAGATTCATAACTTTATCATGACTGCTGTTGTTGTTGTTTGGTTTTTGCACCTGGTTTCACAGCAATTCACACCTTGATGCCCGTGAGTCCTGGGTCATTAACGGGCTGTCAGCCATGAGAGCAGGAGTGACTATAAAACTCTGAAACTCCCCGTCAGTCAGTTAGAACTGAAGAATCCTCTTGAACAAGAGGTGAAACATCTTCAAGAACCTTAAAGAGAAGTCCAGGTGATTTCTACTGAAGCTCCTCTGAGTATCTACGACACCACTGATCAGGTGCTCATGATGCAGTCCTGAAATCTCTTCCCGTAAGCAACAGAAGCCATCCATGTTAAACTGGAATCTCTAAAAAAGGGAAGGGAATCTACAATACCACTTGTCAGGTACTTATGATGCAGTCCTGAGATCCCTTCCTTCACATCCATTCACATCTCAAGGCACAGAGTCTTCAGTTGATTACAGGACATTAGCTATGTGATTTAGAGTTGACAATAAATACCTGGAACTCCCCATGAGTCAGTCAGAACTGAAAAAGGGTCTCGAATGAGAGGTCTTCAAGAACCAGAAGAGAAGTGAAGATGGGTTCGACTAAAGCACTTAGCACTCTAACAAGTTATATATGGCTTACATCAAACCAAAGTGCAAAAACACATTTTTTACTAGAATATTTTTTCTTTCACAACTAATCGGACTCACCAGATTTAGACTCCATGTGTCACGCCTCACTTCCATACAGTTTTGTTTGGTGTCAGTAATTCCTGATGATATATACGGAACAGAGCCTCCATTTCTTTCTGGCACAGTGTGGTCTCTGCGAAATCCTCTGTTAAAGTTGGAATTTTTACAACGACTCGATACAAATTCCAGACTGAACAAACTGCGAAAGAAGTAATTTCTTTGAGCAAATTAGAAATCACAGAGGTTCCCGTAAGAATGAATGGAGTTCTGGTTGACTGGCATGAATGTGGTGATGTGGACGCCTCATTTCCACCATCTGGACTACGCCCCTTAATATCTGACACCAAAGAAATGCATTTCCTTCTGGCTCACAGTGCGGTCGCTCTGAAATCTGCTGTAAAAGTTAACATTTTTCACAGAACTTGAATTCCAGACTCGAAAAACAGGTTCGGTTCACACAGGAATAACTGGAGTTCTGGTTACTGTTGACTTGTCTACGAACACAGAACCATGTGGAAACAAGGCAAACACCTTCCACAAATTCCATGTAATATATAGATTTCGCACCTTGGTGTTTAATGTGAGGAAACGCATTTCTTTTTCAGTTGGAGAAAGGCTAAGTTTATCAGTTTTTTACCATCCATTTAATGGAAAATGGACATGAAAAAGGGCCAATGATGCATAGAAAGATTAGAAACAAGGTTAGAAATAAGGGAGAAGCTTTACCTGCCAGGCCTGAAGCCAATTTTCCATTAGATTTTGTTACAAGATGTCTGAAATACTGTCTGCACTGTCAAGACTCTTTCAACATACTTGAGGTAAACTCCAGACATGAAAAAAGAAAGATGAAGTTTCGAGAACACGTCGGAGATCATTCAGGTTCTAAAAGAAATGAATGGAGTTCTGGTTGATTGTACATGAAGCAGTGTGAATACGTGGTGAAAGTCCCCCATGTCTGCCATTCTCCTCTCCTTGTGCTCTCTGATGCAACCATCCAAATCCCCTTAACTACAGTAAACAACAACAACAACCTCCGAGCAGCACCCTAAATGCTTGAATTGACAGGTTTAGAAGAAATAAGGCGAGCCTGCTTGGTTTGCTTCCACCGAAACAACTCCCCCATCGCTATACTGCAGGGGTACCATCGCTGCATCCCGGGCTTGGCACCACCCAATACGATTGAGATTTGAGCGTTTCTTTTCCCCCTTTAGCAGGATGCTAATGAGGAGCAGTCAGACCATTCTCCACCAGTGCTGTGATGATAGATCTGGCTACATCGCCCATGGTTCCTCATAAAATGCAATTTTGCACCTTGGTATTGGTGCATATTAAACAAATAAGATGTCATGTGTTAAACTGTGAGATCTTGAAGGTGCTGGTAGGTGTCAGAGTCAGGCTAAGCTAGGCTAACTGGCTGTAGCTTCATATTCATCCCATCTAACTCTCGTCAAGAAAAGTGCATTCCTCCCCAAAAAAAATCTTTACTGTAACTTAAAGGAAAACACTGAATTCTGCTCTTCGTTCTCATGGCAGCTCGTGTTTAGACGTCCTGGAAGTTATCGCACCATTATAATATAAAGATCACTTGGATATAAAAGCGTAGACAAAAGAGTGTACTGGGTCACAAAGTCAGTGTTTTGTCAGAGTAGCAGCTTGACTTTCTTTGTGTCTCTGAGATGTTCACCGGGCTGCCCGAGGCTCGAGAATCAGTTTAATCTGAACAGTGTTTGCCCTTGATTGTTAACAACCGTCTATGAACTGGTTACGCCGGTTTGCTGTTTTAAAACGAGCCCCAATTAAAAGAAAAGGAAAAGGAAGATGAAATACTTGATGATCAGAGTTGTCTCAGTTTGGACGGATGTTTTGTCAAATTCTTTCAACATGCAACCATTAGGGAACAATCGTTAACCTGCCAACCCTCTAAAATGGCCCAAAAACAAAAGAGTTCCACACAAAGAAAGCAGAGCCAACGATATCAACTGAAGGCCACATAGAGGTTATTGAACGAGAACTTGTTGAAATTGAGCAGATTAGCAGTTTTTCCTGGTAATGTCACTATCAGGTGTCTACTTAGTAATTCTACAAAAGCAGCTCTGAAGGCAGGGCAGGGAACAAGGCTGACAAAGGTTTAAAAGTTTGTGGAAAAAGACTAATAATAACGTACTACAAACTTCAGATCTACAAGTGGTTGCTGTCAAAGTCCGCCGAGCCGCCCTCCGGGGCTCAGGTCAGAGTTTGCCTCCGTCGTCTTGCTGTCGGAGAGGAAAAGCCGAGTTCTGAAGTCTCTGGCGGCAGCTCTCCTCTTCGTTTTCCTGCCTCTTTCCTCAGAGGACAAACAGTATGAGGTCAGGCGGTTGTTCGAGCCTACTGACGCCACGAGCGGCGGTGGCAGGAAGGCCCAGAGGTCAGTGCATGTGTCGGGGCGGTTCACACCCGGGTGTGGCGGCAGCTGTGGGAGGAGCCGGCGGCGGCGGCGGCCCCAGACGGCGACGAAGGGTCCTCGTCGCTCGACTCGTTCTGCTCCTCCTTGTGGAGGCCGAGGCTGATGTGGCTCTGCAGGGCGGCCGGCGTTAGCCACTCCTTGGGCAGGCAGCTCTGCAGGAAGGGGATGCAGGAGCTGAAGTAGGCCAGTCGGTTGACCCAGCGAGGGATTTCCCGCCCGCACAGCAACTGAAACAAAGGCAGAATAAATAACGATGTGAGCTGCATCATTTATTAATGTTACTGTACTGCCAGAAATGCAAAACACGTTTAACCTCTGAACCCTCAGCAGTTGCACAGTTTTCCTCACTGTGGGCTCATTTTTCATTCCAATATAAAGTCCTGCACCTCCAAGGAAACAACACAACCATGACTAGAAGAAGAGGAAACTCACACAAGTGTCCTGTTGAGGACTTCACAGTTTGAATGCAACAAATCACAATAAAAAAAGAAATCAAGGTAGAATTTCTTTCATTATTTATTTTACAACAACTGAAAACACCTGAAATCAACATGTGCAGGTCCACTGAAAACATGCGATTTACAATTAAAGATATTTTCCTACTTTAACCCGTCTCAGTACTTGTCTCCTATAGTTTTGCATTTTACAGCACATAATGTATGAACAGGTGACAAATAAAATGTCATGAATCTTAAATCTATCTATTTTTAAAAAATATCTACGTTAAAAAAATAAAAAAAATAAAAAAATCCCACAATTCATTCTGTCTTTACAATTTGTGGCCCCAACAAAGAATCTAATTTTGGCAATTCTTCAAGAAAAACCTGCCTATCAAAGCCTGCTGGTAAGTTTTGGGGTTCAGAGGGTTAATAAACATTATCGAAATCTGCTTTAAACATGGCGACTAAGTAAAATTCCCATTTCTTTGTTTGTGTAGCTTAAAATCTCTGATTATAAGCAAAGTTTTTACACAGTTAACATTTCATGTAAATAAACATATTAATGTATGACAGTATTATGTTATATGATAGTATTACATATTAAATTGGACGTTTTGCATCCATATTTGGAGTTATTTGAACTGTAAAAACAGTTTGACTCAGTTGTTTAATGTCTATGTTAGTAGCCAGCTGTAGTTCCTCTCCAGTAAGATTCATCCTGAATGTCTGTCATAAACATAATGGAAATCAATCAATAGCTGTTGAGATATTTCCGCCTGGACCAAAGTGGTGGACTGACGCTGCAGTTCTGATAAAATTTGTTGTCTAAAAGAAGGAGCTGAAATAACCCTGATGATTTTTCCTGACTATAGAAAGCTCCGTCCTTTGTTCACGGGCAGAATCAGACTCCTCATGGCGACCTGCTGACCTTCATGTATAAACTCGTCCCTTTAAACACACTCCTGTGTACAAACTTTCATGTAACAGGATCGTTTTGTGTTGCGTATTTATAGCCGCGGCTCGGCCCTGGAGGAACGGCGAGACTGACCTCGGACAGCGAGGAGGAGAAGTGGTTGCAGTTTTTGTGCATTAGATGGTAGGCGTTCCCTTTGAACTCTTTACCGAGCTCCTCCATGATTTTATCTATGTCCTCCTCTGTGAAGTCTGTGGTGCCCAAAACAATGGCCTCCCTGTGGAAAAAAGCACACAAGAGTTACATCAGCAACACTCATCTCCACCGGTTAACAGCATCGTGGGCACAAAACGGGGTCACGGCTCACTTGAATTTGAACGTCTCTCCCAGCTCGGCGGCGTTTCCGGGGTTGATTTCAAAGATGCCACTGAAAGGGTACGGGTGACCGCCGTATGCAAATTCTGCAGAGGACAAAAGATGCAGGTTAGCTGTTTGGATCGGAGGCACGAAACAGCTGTAATTACACAGAAGCCGGCGATTAATCACTGACACGCTGCGCTTAAATCATTAGTCTGATTGCAGGCCTCCGTGCCCGGCGTTTACAGCAGCGTAATGGAAAACAGCGATGAACGCCAGGGGAGCAGCGCAGACTTAAATAGTTCACTATTAAACTTCAGATTTATTCCGACTGGAGCCGCACTGAGCTGCTTGTGCAGTCTGAGAAAGCAACAGATGCACACGGAGGAGAAACAAGCACTCAGAGACGAAGCAAGTGATGCAATCAATAACATGATAAAGCAGTAGTCTGTGCTTCACATTTAAATGTACCAAAAGTTTGTTGTGAAGAAGTACATTTACACAACTGAGGTGCTTCAAATACTACGTTTTTTTAAATGCATCTTACGAAATAATCTGCTTTTCACTCCGCTTTACTTAGAAATTACATTTAAAATACAAAACAAATAAATGAACTTAAAAAATATGACTCATTGTTGTGGATTAAACTATTCAACAACACATAAATAAATGACCTAAACTATCCATCCATCCATTATCTATACACCGCTTAATCCTCATTAGAGTCGTGGGGGGCTGGAGTCTATTCCAGCTGACTCAGGGTGAAGGCAGGGGACACCCTGGACAGGTCACCAGTCTATCACAGGGCTACACTTAGAGACAGACAACCAAGCACACTCACATTCACACCTACAGACAATTTAGAATCACCAATTAACCTCAACATGTTTTTGGACCTTGTGGGAGGAAGAACCCGGAGAGAACCCACGCTGCACGGGGAGAACATGCAAACTCCACGCAGAAAGATTCCAGGTGTCCTAACCGGGACATGAACCCGGGATCTTCTAGCTGTGAGTGCTACTAACTGCGCCACCTTGCAGCCCCTAAACTAACTAACACAGAACATTACTAACACATTTAATCGAGTATAACACTCAAAGAGGCCGTTTTCATGTGCAAAGTGTGCAAAAAGTCTCTTTTTTTCATAGTTTAAACCCATTTTTATTTTTATTTTCAATTCAGGGTTTCTACTTCAACTCAGTGGCGGACAGTAACGACGTATATTTAAGTACTGCTGCATTTTATTTACTTTAAACCTGACTTCACCACATCTCAGAAAGAAATATTGTACTTTATTTTACCAGACTACATTTATCTGACAACTTTAGTTACTTGTGACTTTTTAGATTGAAATTTGATGTCTGATGTAATATTCTAGATTCAGATAAAACTACGTTGATCCCTGAGAGAGAATTCACGAGCCGCAGATACACGACATAAAACAGCTACAGCTTCAACATTAAAGTGAAACATAACTAATTATAATCTAATGACATATTATTCTGAAATATGGCATTCCACATGAGGAGAACGTTCACTTTTTGTACTATAAGTGTATTTTCTATGCCAATACTTTTGCACTTTCACTTGAAAACTGATTTGAAAGCATGACTGAGTACTTCTACACTCTGGTGTTACTGCTTTTACTTGAGTGCAAGACCTGAGTTCTTCTCCCGCCTCTGCTTTTCATGAAATATTGTTATATTGTGCTGCTGCATTGTTGTTTTTACTCGATTAAAGGATCTACTTACTTTCTTTTATAATGACGAAAACATACCTTATATTACTTGAGTAAAAGCAGTAATACTGTAAAAATACTCTGCGACAGGTACACAAGTCTGCAAAATATACTGAAAGTAGTGATGAAAACAGGCTCTATGCAGCAGAACGGCTGCGTTGTTATAGATCATGTTATTGGATGATTATTATTGAATATATGAGAATCTAATGTTGTACCTGATCATCACAAAGAGCTGATTTTACTCGTTTTGTGAGTTTATTTTACAACATTGTAGAAAATGTCATCCAAGTAAAAACCTCATCTATCAGCAAACTGTAGCTGGAGAGTAAAATATGAGACTGATAATTAAAATGTAGTGGAGAAAAGTTTAAACTCCAAAACAGATCACTCCTGTAGTGCCATGAATCTTAAAATCATATTAAAACCCAGAAACTCCTTCATAAAGCATCCTTAAGATCACTCTTTTATTCATATAACACCAAACTTTGCAAAGTTTCTGTCCAAAAGATGGATTCAAGTGCTTTTAATGCCGTGTTCTGCAGCCTAAGCTTTCAAAACTAGAAGATTTCTGGTTTCTCACCTGTCAGCGCCGCTACATTAACTCAATATGACTAAAGTCTGGGCTCATTATGCAAAAATATGCTGCAAACTCAGGATATTATGCTGAAGTTCCCACAAAGGGAGTGATTTCTCGCCCTGGTAAGGACGCTACTTTCACTATCATCGTATTTCCTGTGTGCATGGAGCCAATATTTCCAGTTTGAAGGGCATAATGGATTCCCGGTGATCTAGTTTCACGCTGGTTTCTGCCTCTATTTTCAAACCGCACACACGGTGACTCATTGGTGACTCAACCCGGAGAAATGGGGTCACGTTATTAGGAGCACAACTCCATATTCCGTTTTTAAAGCCACGCTTCGTCTGTGGAAGCAGCCGACGATCAGACGAGCAGGTCCGACTCTGACCCGACGCCACAGAAACCCCGATGAGGTTTCAGAGACCCAAAGGAAGCTTCCTCCCGTCTCACCTCGGCCGTAGATCTCGATGCCTGAGTGGAAGACTCCAATGCCCAGATTGGAAGTGTATTCGTTGATCCAGTACTGCAGAGAAATGAGGAGACACAGAAAGAAGAAGCATGAATGACGCCGTCATCGTAAATAAAGCAGATCAGACGGCCTGATAACTGTCTGGTAACTGTGTGATATTAAACCTGTGTGCTGTCAAACTGTTTGAGCCACTGCTTTAAATATTGCTGCTGTTTGTCAGCATTTGCACTTTTTATACTCTGTTTTTATATCGTACTTTATCAAGTTATGTTTACCTTAATTGTGTTTTTATGCCTTCAAATGTCATTATATTGCTGTGTGACTTCAATAAAATGACAATTAGGCTACTGCTACGACCAACACTAGATTGCTCAAGAACAATTTCATTTTCCTCTTACAAGAATAGTCACTCATTATTTGCATTTTAGAAATAAACGTATTCTTGATGCCGCTATATTCGGTCTGCAGAGCCAGTAGATGGTTAGCAGACATTATAATAAAAATTTAAATAAAAAAAATAAATAAATAAATAAATAAAAAATGCTGCAATATTCTAGTAGCTAGTGGGCAAAAAAAAACAAACAAACCAAACAAACTGTAAAATAATATAAAATACAACCATCTGATAAAAACATTTAATTTTTTCATAGTTAAAATAGATTTTTTTTAAAACTTCACACTACATATGGTCATGTGTGTTTTGTGGCTTTTTAATGCTAAAATAAGGCCTTTTTTTCTAATTATTCTTATTATTTCATGTTATTTTGTGTCTTTTGTTACATAAATACAAATATTTCAACCATAGTTTGATGTAGAAAAAAATGAGTGAATAAAAATCCACCAAAATGTGTTAAAAATGGGGAATTCAGTTTTATTACACTTCAGTGCTTTAAAATATTAACTCAACTGAGTACATTGTCTAGTTAATACTATTATTTGCTGTTTTTTGTTTTGTTTTTTACACAACATTTCCACTATAAAGTGACACAGAAAAGTCACAAAAATGTACTAAATTTCATAAAATGTCACCAAGATCAAGTGTTTGGTGATCAAAATGATTTAATGAAAAATATTCACATTATAAAAAACAATGACATCGCCTAAAATATCATCAGAAATATACATATATACTTAATGAGATGGATGTAAAGCTTTTACATTCACAGATATGATGGATGATTGAAGGCAAATTGTCTAAACGTACATTAAAGTTATAAAAATAACTTATTGCCCTTGAAAACTTAGATAAACTCAGTGTTGCACTTGAAAAACTATAAAGATATGTAGTATAAATATAGGACAACTGCTGCCAATATGTGTAAAAATGTGACAAAACCGTCTTTCTAATGAATGTCATGTGCTTTTTAACTGTTTATTTTGAGCTTTAACTGTGTGATTTTGCAGATCTTTGCCTGAATACATGAACATTTTAATCTCACTGAGGATTTTCTGGTTAGATAAAGGTTAAGTGCATTTATATAAAAAACACTAAAAACTGCTATTAACCTGCATTTCCCTGCTAACACTCTGTTATTTGATGCTTTCATCTGCAAAATTCTGATTCATACTTGGAACACCGGGGGCTTCCCAGCATGCACGCTGCAGAAACACCTCGACAGATTTACAATCAATCACGCCGTCTGGACAAAAGGGAGGAAAATTTACCCATCAGCCCCGGTTGGTGCTGTGAGCCAACCTGCCGCCGCTCGCTGCAGACAGCTGGGCGATAACTCGTGCACGGTCCACGGCTCCCCCCACCGACACCCCCTCCGAGAAAACATGCTAAGAGCTACCTGCGCTGGCCCAGCTGTCCCCTATTAATAATGAAACAGGTTTCCGGGCTCCAGTAATACAATAAAAGCATTTGCACCACATTAGTTTGTGTCAATAGAGTCTTCTCGTGTTTCTGCAGCGACCTGGGACAGATGGAGGAGCTTTGAACC